ATAGATTTCTAATGTAATTAAGTATTACATGATATTTAATATGAAACGTAGTGCAGTAAAAAGTACAATTTTATGCTTTGGAATGTTGTGAAGTAAAGTTTTCTAAAGAAAAACACTGATAAAGTACAGACACCTGAAAAGTACTTTTACAGCAGAGTAAAAATACTTCACTACTGTCCGCCTCTGCTTTTCATCTCGTACATTTCTGTATTACATGGCAGTCATGCAGCCAATAGCATGCAGGTATTGCGAGTCCTGATGCGACATTTGACCAATCAGAGCCCTCAGTCTCAGAATCAGTTGAACGTCTCCGCCCACCGCCCGCTCATCTCAGTGAAGAAGACGGAACTCCCGAGTCTGAAAGAGTAATTGATGGAGGTCGTGTGGTCAAACCATTAGCTTTTACTTTTTGTACCACTTTTGTACCTGGCCGAAAGGCAGAAGACGAGCATCCTTGTGAACGCAGAACGGGAGGACCTCAAAGTGTGCGTGGAAATACATATCTGAACTTTTTTTCTGTCTTGTCACGGTAAGACAGGTGCATGCGCACCTGCATTCTTTTGTGAAGTCCGTCTGTGATGATGATGAAATTCTGCCTTCCCTGTTAAAACGCTGGGAATTAATTCCAGCATGGCTTAATATTTTGAGTCATTTCATTAGTAAACTTAGTTTATTTTGGATTGACATTACGTTTTTTTTTGTTATGGTCACTAAAGGAGCTACTTTATTAGAGCACAGGTGGCGTCTCTGGAATGCTATGTGCTTTTTCAGACTCTAAAAAATGTCATTAAATAATGCGTGCATAACTGAACCTCGAAAACACTTTTTTTTTTTTAGATATTCAATTTTTTGTAGGTACATTTCTTTAACAACCACGTATAAATTGTTTTAATTATATTTTGTTCTTAATAGTTACACAACTAGCCTATTATTTAAATTTAGTCATTAAAGAGAGTAATATTCACACATATGCACAGATTTTAAGAGCAAGATTATTTCTGCTGAATCCAGCACTGCAATTGAACTTGTACATTTGCTTGGCCGATATTTTCTGGCGTCATTAATCTAGTTGTTTGTAATGCAGGCAATTTTATTTAATTTAGCTGTTTATTAATTGCTGAAAGTTTACCAACAGAGAATTCTGCCTATAGCTATGGAAAAACACTAAGCCAACATAGCATATCCCTCACTCAAACATCATAACATTTCAGATATTATGTTTGGTTTTGATTAGTATTGGGTTTTCCAGTTCAGCCACCGTTGGCACCCAGTGTTGAATGCACTTGTGTGGAGGGAAGGTAGTGTCCTCCTCTCACACCTGCAACCTGCCTGTCTCATGGCAACAGGCGTGTTGAGGCTTGTATTAAATATTACAGTATCTAGGCAAACAACTCCCTCCAGATAACTGGACCAGTATGCCCTGAAACGCATGTTGGATTAGTTTCTCTTCTCTTGGATTAGTTGGAGGGAGGAAAAAAACCACTTTGATTCTTCAGTAGAATGATGCCTGAATTCATGTACATCTGATGAGTTAGTGCTTTTATTTATTTATTTATTTTAGGGCTGTGAAATCGATTATTAAAGTAAACTGTTATCTAACACATATTTAATGTAATTTTTATATGCATGTACTGTATCCTTTTTGATCTCGTAGCATAAAGATTAATTGTCCTTTTGTGTCCAATGATAAATCTGGTTATGGTGACCTTTTATTTGTAGATAAGTGATTATCTATCTATCTATCTATCTATAATATATAATATATAATATATATATTTTTCATTTAAAGTCATATTTATTCACAAAGAGAAGATAATAGATATGTGTTATATAATGAGTTTTTCATGTGCTGGAAATTATATTCTTATCTCCATAAATGCTATCAATTGATCCAGATCTGGGAAGCATCAAAGTAATTTTTTGCAATTTCAGCACTCATTTCTCCTAAATGAATAAAATTAGTTTTTGTGCCCCTAATACACAGGCACAGACATGTATGTTCATTATAGAATAATTCAATTTGAAATGCACTTTTCTGGTAGTGGTATCATGTCGAGTTCAACTGAGTGTTTCCATTGTATGCATCTCTGAGTTCAGCTGTTTTCTGGTATATTACTGTACATTGTTCTCTGTGCTCTGCATATCTTCGTTTATCCACCCCCCTGGTTTTATGTGCTGTCCTGTCCTGAACATACACTGACTGCTGACCATTGTGTCCCAACACTCGCCCTCTTGTTCAGCTCTGAGTTTGCTGGAGAGGATGGAGGATTCTTGTGTTTTCTTACCACAATACAACCTTTCATGGCGCCACCGTACACGGACCTTTCCTGCTTCATTTTAGAGCATTTAGGTTCTACATCACATCATGTCATACTGTCAAGAAGGGAGCAGTACTGTGAAGGTGTAATTCAAGATTGTTCAATTATAAATTCAGTCTGAATAATGTGACATTTAAGTTAATGTATTTAACTAATTAAATGTATTTTACATTAAATGTAAATTAATGTATTTTACTTCTAATTAATGTATTTAATGTGACTTAATATGTGTCAGACTTAACTTGTGGGATGAGTTTCTTTTAAGTGCACTAAATGTAAAACATTTTTTTTACTAGATTTTGTAGATGGTAAAATAAATCATCTCTTGAGGGTTATATCACACCTACACTTTGTGTTTGTGACCTTAGGCTCTGACCATTGGCAGTGATGGCGTTCCGTGAGTTCACATCCACAGCTGCACAGCTGTATGACAAGTGGATCAAAGATGCAGGTAAGAAGGTTTCTGACATCAGAAAATCAAAATATGAATGTATGACCACACACATTTAAGCCTCAACAACTCGTAAAGAGTGCATCAGTCAGGTTTCGGAAGTAAAAATCACATTCATTTTCTCTGCTTTAAAACAATAATTTTTTTATCTCGGCGAATTATAGTGCACAACAACAGCAGTGTCAAACATAGATTAATGGACAAACTAATGCAGTTGCTAGTGCAGATATTCTTATGATGTGATTTCAGACCCCAGGACAAAAGACTGGCCGCTCATGTCCTCGCCGCTCCCACAGACAGTTATTATTGTATTTTACATCTACTTTGTGATGTCACTGGGGCCCAGATTAATGGAGAACAGGAAACCATTTGATCTGAAGCGGGTCCTCGTCATCTATAATTTCAGCGTTGTGGCTTATTCTCTTTACATGTGTTATGAGGTAAATCTATTTCTGTTTGCTAGCAGGCAAACCTGTTTTGTTTTGCTTGGGAGTTTACAAAGACACTTTTAGGAATGTGTTTTGTTAGATTCCATTGAGTTATGTTGTCATTTCACTGTTAGTTTTATGCAGGTCACACATTATGTTAATGTGTAAATGGTTGGAATTGAGTTTACCTACACTAGTGTCTGTATCAGTTTACCCAAAAATGACAGTTTACTCATCCTTGTGTTGTTCTAAACTTGTATGATTGTATTTCTTCTGTGGATCACAAAAGATGATGCTATTCAAGATTATGTTTAAAGCAGCTCCTTTCCATTCAGTAAAAGTAAATGTGATTCATACTGCCAGGCACCATATAAGTAACTTGTTTGCTATACTTCAAGACTTCTGAAGCCATATAATAGTGTGTAGAACAAAATGAAATTAAGTATTACAGGTGGAAATCTTTAGAGCTTTTTGTGTTGCTCTGTCCCTTGCCCAGATTGGCCGTGTGAATCACTGCGTTTTTACTGTATGGAAAAAAAGCTCCTTAGATTTGCATAATGTGGTGTAGTTTCCTACAAAACGTATAGACCAAGAGCCATTAAGTGCATTTACATGCCACTCTTACACATTAGCATACTTGGTGTACATAATTCACGTGAACACCCTAAACTGTTACTTTGGGTAAATAACTGACTTCTTTTTTTGCCCATTATTCCCCTTACACTTGCATTTTGTTGGTGCATGTATTTAATGTGTGTACATCAAAATGTAATATAAAAATGGTTTTCTTGGATTGTCTGTTTTTTTTTATAATGAGCTGGAGTTTTTCATTTAAATTTTTTGTAATGCACTATTTAGTTTATTTCAAGATATTAAATGGTATGGCCAAAGATGTATTTCTTAAAATGTATTTGTCTGTAGTTCTTGAATTTCAATGAGGCTTCTTATAGGTGTATATATTCCTTCTCTGCAGTTTGTGATGTCAGGCTGGGGAACAGGGTATTCATTCGGCTGTGATCTGGTAGACTACACTCGATCGCCAAAAGCCATGAGGGTGAGAGCAGAAGAAATGGCGTCTTACCTGCTTTTTTGAAAAGCTTGTAATCTGGCTCCAGGTTTAAGTGTTTGGCTTGGATGTGGTTGGTTTCACATGACTTAAATGTTACACAGAACCATTCAGACCAAGTAATACACTCACTGCTGAGTAATACATTGTATCTGATGAATATAGTGATTCATTCAAGTTTGTTAGTTTAAATAACTTGTTTTGTATTTAATAGTTTGTTGGGCATTTGTGCTTAATCTACATTTCTCTGTCCCCAGATGGCATGGACTTGCTGGCTCTATTACTTCTCCAAGTTCATTGAGATGTTGGACACAGTAAGTAAAGTGTTTTTTTATTTATTAATGGTTTCATTACATCTAAATTTCTACTGTTTGGCAGTAAGTAACTAGTTGTCTGTCACATCTTTGACACACAGTCAGTCAACAATAATACTGTTCTCTCAGGTCATGAAAAATGGAAGAAAATAGCGGCATTGTGAGTCAAAGACAAAACTCCTGTTAAGTGGTTAGGCAGAAAGATGGAAGAGAACATTTTTAGTGTCTCATGCTTGCTTTTCTGAGGTGCAATGTAACTTAAGTTCTGTTTACAGCATCTATGGCATGCTGTCAGTTACCACAGAAAATTATTTTGACTCATCTGTCAGTAAGTAATGGAAATGGGGCGGTTGAATTCGATTTTCATTGAAACTTCAAATTACAACATATCTCTTAAATGAGTGGATCACAGCCATTTAACACCTCATTTACACCTATACAGTATTTAGCTCTGTCCTTGTGATCAGATCGCACAAAACGGATGTTAACACTGGGTCTTTTCTGCCTCTTCTGGACAGATTTTCTTTGTACTAAGGAAAAAGCACAATCAGGTGACCTTCCTACACGTTTACCATCATTCCATTATGCCTTTCACTTGGTGGTTTGGAGTCCGGTTTTCTCCAGGTATGGATTTGTCTGTTATACGATTGCATGAATGCGCTTAAAATATGTATTTCCTATAGACCAGTGGTTCTCATTTCCAGTCCTGGCGACCCACCACTCTGTATATTTTGCATGTCTCTCTTATTTAATACACCTTATTCAGATAACCAGCTCATTAGAAGAGAGCTCCATGCATGAACTTTGTTCCTATTGACATGGTCCCTACACAGTGTTCATTGCTCCCTACTCCCTGAGCACGGGAAATCTTTTGAAGTTTTCTTCAATTCGGAACATTCATTCAAGGATTTGCGCTACGCCATGGCCTGCAGTGTCTTCACACACAGACGAAACTTACTAGAGAAGTGTAACATAATATGCCTCTGTAAATAAATACAATTTAAATTCACGTCTCGCACACTTTAATGCCCTTTGAATGGAACATATACACTTCCTTCGAACTGGAAACATGGCGGAAAATCCTGTGAAGTCCACTTCGCAGGGCACTTACGGTCTAATAGGACAAACGTCTGAAGTGATAAGAGAAACAAACAAAATGTGCAGAGCAGGGGGCCGCGAGGACTGGAATTGAGAAACACTGCCATAGACATCTGTTTGGTTTGATGTTGCAGGTGGTTTGGGGACGTTTCACGCCCTTCTAAACTGCATCGTTCATGTCATCATGTATACCTATTATGGACTGTCAGCTCTGGGCCCTGCCTACCAGAAGTTTTTATGGTGGAAGAAGCATTTGACTTCAGTCCAGCTTGTATGTATTACAACATTTTAATTTCCTTTTGTTGCTGTTTCTTGATATGATCAGAATTGAGGAAACATTTATTTATTCATCTATTTATTGTTTTATTTATTTTTATATATTTATGTATTTTTATTAATTTGTTTAAATTATACACTGAACAAAATTATAAACGCAACACTTTTGTTTTTGCCCCCATTTTTCCTGAGCTGAACTCAAAGATCTAAGACTTTTTCTATGTACACAAAAGGCCTATTTCTCTCAAATATTGTTCACAAATCTGTCTAAATCTGTGTTAGTGAGCACTTCTCCTTTGCTGAGACAGTCCATCCACCTCACAGGTGTGGCATATCAAGATGCTGATTATACAGCATTATTATTGCACAGGTGTGCCTTAGGCTGGCCACAATAAAAGGCCACTCTAAAATGTGCCGTTTTATCACACAGCACAATGCCACAGATGTCGCAAGTTTTGAGGGAGCATGCAATTGGCATGCTGACTGCAGGAATGTTCACCAGAACTGTTGCCCGTGAATTGAATGTTCATTTCTCTACCATAAGCCGTCTCCAAAGGCGTTTCAGAGAATTTGGCAGTACATCCAACCGGCCTCACAAACGAAGACCACGTGTAACCACACCAGCCCAAGACCTCCACATCCAGCATCTTCACCTCCAAGATCGTCTGAGACCAGCCACCGTGTAGTTTTCGAACCCCCCGGACCCCCCAATACAGTAAAACTGCACATTTTAAAGTGGCCTTTTATTTTGGCCAGCCTAACTGTGCGTTCACACCGCCGCCGTCAAGAGCGTCAAAAATCGCTCTGGCCGCCCTGCCAACAACGCTGTAGAAAGATTTGTGGACACTGTGATGTAGATCGAATGCTTATCTTGTATTTAAAGGGGACGCAAAGCAACCAAGCTTGTTGATCTTGTGCAGACTGACCACAAGGAGGGTAAAGTTATAAGTTAACCTCATTAAATATTGTTGTGGACGAAGTATTAAGATCCTTTACCTCATAATGTATAAAGCACTAATACCACACTGTAAAAATACTCTGATACAAGTAAAAGTCCTGCATTGAAAATGTTACTTAAGTAAGTATAATCCGGTATAAAAATTACTTAATGTAAGTATAATCAGGAAAATTGATTTAAAGGTTTAAAAGTGAACTGGGACTATTATACTATTATTTATTATGTCATTAGATTATTATTACTATAACGTTAATGCACATCAGCAACTCACCAGGAACACCAACAATCTCAGACACCTTGGTCCACGCATAATTTTTTAATTTATGTCCCTGTATGCAAACTGGGACACGTCATAGATTATTGGGAAACCCGCCACAGCACTAATCAACCTCTCCTCCATTTAGCTTGGGAACTAATGTGTTCGGAACCAAAGTTTACAGGACTGCATTCTCTGGAATCCTCTCAAGCGGTGGACTTCTACGTTCCGATTGGTTGCCGCCAGATGCCGCCGAACCGTGTCATAGCTCATTACCATAAAGTTGACCTGATTTCAACTCTCCTCGACGCCCTCAACGTCCAAGTCGCGCGGCGCCGCTGCTCGACGCTGCTTGACGCCGGCTCACATTGAAAATTAATGACTTCCAGCCACTTTGACGCTCTCGATGGCGGCGGTGTGAACGCACAGTTAGGCACACCTGTGCAATAATCATGCTGTCTAATCAGCATCTTAATATGCCACACCTGTGAGGTGGATGGTTTGTCTCGGCAAAGGAGAAGTGCTCAGTAACACAGATTTAGACAGATTTGTGAACAATATTTGAGAGAAATAGGCCTTTTGTGTACATAGAAAAAGTCTTAGATCTTTGAGTTCAGCTCATGAAAAATGGGGGCAAAAACAAAAGTGTTGCATTTATAATTTTGTTCAGTGTATATTTTTTTTACGTTTTATTATTTTTATTTGTTTTTTGGACTGACATTCACTGTCATCTTGTAAGTGATAAAATCTAAGTGATGAAGTCTATCTACATCAGTTACCATAGCATCAGAATGAAAATCTGATTTTAATTGGATTTCAAATTACATATACAGTGGGGAAAAAAAGTATTTAGTCAGCCACCAATTGTGCAAGATTTGGATCTGGTTTAAAAAGGGGGTCTCATATAGTCTTTTGCTGTTCATACTACCAACCAAGCTGATTTGAATTGGATTTGACACTTTTTTTGGCTTGTGCTCTCTTTTCTCAGATCCAGTTTGTCATCATAACCTGTCATATTAGCCAGTACTTCTTCATGAAAGACTGTCCTTACCTGTACCCCATATTCATCTACATCATTGCTCTGTATGGCATCATCTTCCTCTTCCTCTTCCTCAACTTCTGGTACCATGCATACACAAAAGGCAAAAGGCTTCCTAAAGTCCTGCAAAACACAACTGTGCAACAGAACAACAATGGCATACACCACAAGAAAGATTAACTGGTGCAGTGTGACTAACCAATCAGTAGTGACAATCTACCTAAAACTGCCTTTTGGCTACATTTTTATAAGACTATTTATATGTACACCATAACATTTATCTTGATGCCCTGGGAAAAAAACGTTACTGTACAGACTGTGTGTTGCAGTCTGGGCTGGATCTTGCCTTCTCAGCTGGGCATTTGAGTTGAACTCTGGGTCATTGCCCTGAGGGCTGCTCCTGTTTCTACTCATTTTCCTCATTGTTTTCTGCATACTGACGTGTTTCCCCTTCCCATTTATTAAGATGTGAATGAGTCAGAAGCCTCCCAGCTCCTCTACTCATGTCAGTCACATAATTTTTATTGCCATTTTAGACAATTCTTTTTGTGAATTTATATATTTATGTCCCTGTTTTTGGCTATATCAGTAAATAAGATGAAAAGTGTTGGCAACTTTTTCTCCTCTTCCTTCATAAAAAGCAGAACTGTGGGGAAAATTCTACAGTGTACACTAGGTGCTCTGTAATGCATATTTATGTCTGTCTTTCACCCTCCACATGTGACATTGCTCGAATGGTAGCAGTACTGCAACTGTCCTTGAAGGAACCGATGCATTGATCTCATCTTGCACTATTGGTGATGAAGGACAGGAATTTGGTTACCTTTTTTATTTTATATGTCTTGCCATCATGAATGTCTTGGGATGTTTTTTTCTGGGACAGGAGCTTGCAATTTTTGTAGAAGGAAATGTATTATGTTAATTAACTTTTAAATATTTATGAAAAAAATAAATGCTCTATTCACTTATGTTGCTGTTTTTATTTAAATTTTTAACTGCACTTTCTCATGGGCTGGCTATACTTTGGGGAATTTGTACCCAGAAGTGAGCTAAATCTCTCAAAACCTGTACACATGTAGGGGAAGAAATATTTTCAGATGGGGTATAGGTTAATCTATTGTATTTGATAGCCTTTATGTAAAAACAATAGTAGTCTGTTGTATGTCTCCATTTAGGGTTATGTTTTAAATGTAGATGCAAGATTTTAAATACCCACTTCGATCAAATTTTTCTAGTATCTGTGTTCTCACCATAAGAACACAGCTCCCCTATGTGGAGTAAAATGTAGTAACAGTCAAGGGGTAAAAGGGTCTGGTAAATATTTTGTATATTTAAAAAAACAATAAACTCACAATAAACCTAAATGAATTTGGCTGTGTAATGCAGCCACAAATTTCTTCTTTTCTCTCTCTTTTTTTTTTTTAAATTGTTATTATTTTTGGAGTTCGATATATTATTTTGGAGACCTTAAAGTAATAGTTCACCAGAAAATGAAAATATGCTGAAGATTTTACTTGCCCTCAGGCCATCCAATATGCAGTGAATGGGTGCTGTCAGAATGAACAATAAACTCACAATAAACCTAAATGAATTTGGCTGTGTAATGCAGCCACAAATTTCTTCTTTTCTCTCTCTTTTTTTTTTAAAAATTGTTATTATTTTTGGAGTTCGATATATTATTTTGGAGACCTTAAAGTAATAGTTCACCAGAAAATGAAAATATGCTGAAGATTTTACTTGCCCTCAGGCCATCCAATATGCAGTGAATGGGTGCTGTCAGAATGAGAGCCCAAACTGCTGATAAAAACATCATAATAATCCACAAGTAATCCACACCACTCCAGTCCATCATTTAACTGTCACGGCGCGGTCAAGAAAGACACCGTGTGAGCGAGGGTTTTGGGTCCAAGTGCAGGTTTATTTACTGCCAGGGAAAACAAAGGAAAAAAAACAGAACATAAACAGAGCTGAGACTCTGAAACAGGCTAGAAACACGCAAATGGGCACTGATGCAATACGGCCAACCACTGGCTTGCATCAGTCCCGGAACAGACACTAGAAACACTCGTAACGCTCGTGACTACAAACAAACAGTAAACTCGTGACA